ATATTGCGCCTGAGGGTCTCAAAGACAATAAGCCATTCTATAACATGCTTCCTGTGGATTGGTAAAGATGTAACGTGGAGTCCAGTTTGTCTGGTGAATTTACCAGAGGTTCTGACATTAATAGTGCTCGATACGATCCACGCACACCGAATACTGCTAAATTATGTTTTAGGATTAACACTGCCAAGCATTGTGTCTGCCGATTTCAAAGCTTAAAGTTCATCGATTGTTCAGGTTACACTTATCAAATTATGATTAGAAAATTAAATATTTACTCCTCTATTCGATTGTTTAATTATTTCTAGCCAGACACCAGGTGATTCGGAGATGTATGACGGTAATAAAGTCGGAAGTTTGAATCGTGGAAGTTTTCGGTATTTAGACATCCAGCGTTGGCTCGTGCATATATAGGACATTCGTTTTACAACATAACTTGGATGTCAAGCCATTTCTAAACTTATCATTCTGACGGCCGTATCAGCATGCTATTCCAAATGAGTAGTGCTCTTTCTCCTCGTATCAATAAGATTGTTGAAAGTACTCCACTTGGGAATTGAGGGTGCTATTGTTTTTGGGACTCTTAAATATCTCTCGCCGGAAGTCACTTACACCGGACTCATTGGATAATATGTATAGACGGAGTAATGGTAAGAGAGATGTTCTTTTTGTTTCGTTGCATTCACCAGGCTTTGTCAAGAAGGCCTTGGGTAGTGCACAGATCTACTTCTGGCTATTTTGACTAAGGGGCAGTAGAATATGATACATAGCTCTTACAGTTCCGTCATTCCATCATGAACCTTATAGCTGGCTAACCATAGTAGCTCGGAATATGGGATTGGTAAGGGACGCCGAAAAGGTCGTCGTTATGTATGCCGAAGTGCCACATATATATCCTTTCATACTCACTTATGTAACATTGGTGTACACACTAATAATGAGGATAGTATAAATGACAAGGCAGGAATGGCAGAGAAAGGCAAAAGGCAACAATTTACTTGGGAATAAGCACTAATGATTGGTGCATTAGACCTCATTCAAGGAACCCTGAACACAACCGCTCTCTGTCGGAATGGGGATAGATTTCCATTTTGGGTCTTCCCTAAACGCACATGGCTGAATTTGAGAAAAGTACGCGTTGTTTCTCGGCTTCGACGAGTTCATATCAGTGTTTGACCCCTAACAGTTGTCAAGGAGGGCATGAATTTGCCAGAAGAGCAGACTTGAGCCCCTATCAACGCTGTGGTTGATACACGTGTATGTAGGATGAGTCTGACTGCGTCATTAAACTTTGAGATAGTGGACCGTAGCGCTGGTTTGTTGTCCTTTCAGATCCCCTCACGATCAATGCGGAGAGCTTGGGGAATGATATCACTGTTTCTACTGAATTGGAGATACAATAGCCTGTGGCCACTTCGGGTTCTGGTATTCTTGGATGCACTCTATCGCACTCCGGTCGTTTTGGTAGTTTTTCGATCGAGGGCTTTTTGATCAGTGAAGGGTTTCTGAATCAGGTAGTGAACCGAACATTTGGATTCCTTATCTAGAGGTCTGTGGAGTCGCGCAATCTATGATTTCTAGTTGGGCTTCTGAGTCATGCAAGACGATTTCCTGGGTGGATAACAGGATGCCCAATTGTTTATGTCCAGGTCACTCTGTATGTGTCTTTTTCTCCTCGTTGAGCTCGATCTGTGAACCGGGGAATTGGACGACGCTGGAAAGGGTTGTGAATGAGTGTGAAGTCGGCGAGAATGGTAACACTCGCTGTTTCTGAAGTACTTTCTACATGCACCTCTGTTTATTGCATTATCAGCTACTTTAAACTTTGATGAACAACGACAAGGAAGGGAATATCTCCGCATTTTGAACATTTGATGATGAGGGAGGAAGAGGTTTTGTAACACGCCTCTCTGTTGATCAAATCCCTTCAATTATCGTTGGTACTGATGAAGGTGTCTGTAGTTGGGTCCAGATCGGTGTCCATGTTGTCTTCGGAGTGACACTCGAGCGTTAGTCGTTTTGTTTTAAAGAGATCTTCAGAAGACGTTTTCGGCGTGTCTACGAAGACTGCCTAGAATCGATCCTGAGATTGTAGCGCTGGTATCCCTCTGTGACCTGGCCGTTACCCTGTCAAGCAGAAGCTTCAGAGATTACGCCCGGATTGGCTTTTGAAAATCAATGGAGAGGATCACCAATCAGATAGATGCAGGGTTCCTTGTCTAGTATCTGAGTATCCTTACTTGTTGGCCACTATTGTTCCGATTGCTGGAAAAAAGAAAAAAAAAAAAAAAAAAAAGAAAAGGTGGGCAAAAAGAATTCGGTGTGGTGTGGATGTTCAAAAATTTGAACAAAATGCTAGTGACGAAGGCGATTTTCCTCTTGCACATCGAACGATTGGTGACTTCACCGCCAGGCCATGGCGTTGCTCTCCTTTATGGATGGATTTTCGGGTACAAAAGATCTTGATGGACCCGAGGATAGGAGAAAAAGACTGCCTTTCTTCATCAGCGTCGTGCGGGAACCTAGCTGTGCTTAGGGTGATGCCGTTCGTTTTGAAAAATGATGGGGCTATTTATCAGTGGGCTTACAACCATCAATCTTTGCTATGATATGATCCACAAAGAGTTTGAGGATGTATCAGTGGACGCACATTTGATTGTCAAATCAGGAAATGAGAAGGTCCACTCCATTACCCTTTGAGTATTTCAACGGATTTAGAGAATATCGATTGCGACTGAATCTCTTTACGAAATGCACACTTTGGCGTGTCACCAGCAATTAGAAATGATGGGGTTTCTTAATTACTTACAAGGCACACTCGAAGCTCGATCCTTCCCAAATTCAAGGCCATCCTCTAGAAAAACCACCACCAGGACTGAAAATAATGTGCGAGGCTTTCTTAGGGTAAGCCGTGCAATTCATAACGACGGTTTACTTGGGCAATTACTTGATTGTGATTACCACTATTTGGTGCTCCTGAAATAAGAAAAGAAATTTCCAATGTGGATGCGGCGATGCAGGTGCTTTTGTGCAGATCAAACAGTATCTACAAAACTCACCGTGTGTCACGCTAGAGCTGGGGAAGCT